TGTGAACACTCATTACAGTTTTAGTTAGTTTTCCTTTTTTTGTTTTTATTTTTATTTCCGTTAACGAAAATGTTTTTTCACTTCTAGTTTTCGTTATTTCGTTAGTTTTCGTTAACGATAATAACCTTGCACCGCACTGGACATTAGTTTAGTTTTTTTTAGCTACAAGTTGTGGTAAAATGCTGGTATTAGCCTATTCGTCGTAGCAAGCTAGCCTGAAGCTAATATTTGCTAAATTTAGGGACACCCGTGTGTCTTTAGGAGTTGGAGGCCGGTGTTTTAGGAACGGCACAAGATCTCATCAACAGGCAGTGTTGGGCAGTAACGTAATACATGCACTGGAGTTACGTATTTAAAATACAAAATATGAGTAAATGTATCTGTTACAGTTACCGTTTAATAGGTGATATTCAGAATACAGTTACTTTGTTGAAATAAATGGATTACATGGCGGCATTTCCCTGTTTCATATGTTAGGCTATGGTCTCTCTATTTTTGGTAATTCCACGCCGGTGGAAACCCAAACAAAACACGCAATAAGAAGCTCTAAATATTATTATACAAAAATTATTTAATATGAAGGCAATAGCAGAGTGTTACAGGCATCGACCTAAACAATGTAGCCTCATTGGCAGTGTAGTCCGTGCTGCAGGGAGAATGGACTGCCATACCCATTATGTGTCTGTGAGCGAGGGAGGGAAAGAAAGGAAAAGTAGGAAAAGGAGTTGTCACCGAGCAGAAACGGGAGCTGGAAGCATGTAAATATAATAATAACCACTGCAGTCAAAAAGAGTGCCTGACGAGCCCAGCTGTAAGTAAGCTATTAAGACTCGACTGTACACCGTGTTCGTGTTTTCCTCTGAAACAATAAGTTCCGTTGGAGCAGCCTTTCAACGCTTCTCTCTGTCTCTCGTTAGCAAAGTTGACCCAGACAACTACAGCTATGAGCCCGACCCGAGGTATTAGCCAGAGGTCCCTTTACTACGGTTCGGAGCCACGGACCTGTTTTATATATGCGCGCAATAGTTTTCTATACGAGATCGCTGCGAAAAGTGCAGCCTTACCTAATGTCCACCCTACTGTTACTCATTTATGTTAAGATTGAAACATCTAGTTGGTATTGGTATGGCGAGTAGCCTTCAGTAATAGTAATAAATCACACAGCAATAGTACATTCATGTAGTTGTATTCAGAATACATTACTTCTATAATCTTTGGTGGAATACTTTTTAAAACTAACCTTCCCAACACTGTTAACAGGTTAGCACCTCATACCACAGTGCACCAAAAGCAGTCTCATGAGCACTGGGAAGGACGAGCCCAGAGCCCAAAACAGACAGTGCAGGAGATGACAAGGTTAGTAATTGTATGGGGTCTTCACACACCCCTGTTTAGGGGTGTGTGAAGGGGGCAGGGGGGCTGGGAGGAGGTGTTGGCCGTCCGATTGGGATCTGGGATGTGGGGCCTACCTGCTACTGCGGAGCCTGGGGCGGTCTGCTTGCCTCCACCCCGGGGGAAAGGGTAACATCTCCTGGGTCTAGGTGCCATTTCCCCCTCCAGGGGTGAGGGTACCTGGACCTGGGGTATAGAGTTTGTTTGGAGAGTGTGATTGTGTGTACAGTGTCCATGTATGTCTATCCCTACGTTGAGTGAGTGCTGAGTATTTGTATATGTGTGCATGAGGGTGGGAATGCATGTTTGTGTCTGTGTGTGCCTGTTTGTCTGTGTTTATATGTCAGGTCGGGTCTTATACTCCACCTCTCTGGGAACTCCCAGGCCCTCCAAGGCCTATCTCCCCTTACCACACTCCCTGTCAGTAACTGATGCCCTCAGGGGTCGGTGCGTTGGTGGTTCTTGGTGTCCGGGGCTGGGCGCTCAGTACCAGCTCACTCCCGGTGACTACTTGGCGGGGCCTGGTGCCTGTTGCTCGGTCAGGCCTCTTCCGGGGCAAAGGGGACCTCGGGCCTCCGGTCTCTGGGCCTGTGGCTCGGTTCACTCTGGTACAGCTGGCTGCTGCAGAGCCGGCGGGCACGCCACTGCAGCCCCCTCTGGCTTCTGCTCCGTGGCTACTGGGTGACCACTCATCTGGGGCTCTCCTCAGCTCTTCCCAGGAGGGTGGCACGGATGCCCCTCCGGTGGTCCTCCTTGGGCTCTCGCACTCTGGGGCCTCTGGATGTCTGGAGGCTGGATCTCCTCCATGCCTGCTTCATGCCCTGGGGGACGGGGCTATGGCTCTCTACAGCCTCTAGCAGACCATTACATGGGGAAACCTTTTGAATACTAGCGCGATGATCCACACAGGTGTGCACTGTTCATAGACATAAACTACACCTCTATTGGCTGCTATTTCCAAGCACATTATGCGCTGTCGGTCCTGCTTGCTACACAACAACATTCAATATTTAGTATTTACTGCTGTTTACACTTCGCTAGATTAACGTGATGGTGTTGTGTTTAGTATGTTGCTCTGTTTTGTTTGCTTCTTTTCTTTTCTTTTTCTCTCAACAGGTGATCCAGGAGACTTTTTTTTCTCTTTCTCTTTTTAAGTGCCCTTTCTCACTGTCCCTCTTCCCTTCTGTTTTTCTTTTCCTTCATCTTTCTTTCACCCTTTCCTATCCCTCAGTCATGTCTGTCCCATCTGTAACAACTGAAAATAAAATAAAATAAAATAAACAATAACAACAAAGGTTGATCAAATGGACCAATACGGCAAGGCCGTGATGATCCATTTGGCAATGGATCAGACCCAGCAACACTCTCAGACAAAAACTGGTTCACCTGAAAGACAAAACTCCAAAACACAGACTTAACAATGTGGTGTATGCTGTACAGTGCAGCGAGGAATGCCCAGACCTCTACATTGGGGAGACCAAACAGCCACTTCACAAGCGCATGGCACAACATAGAAGAGCCACCTCCACAGGACAAGACTCAGCAGTCCATCGGCATCTTAAGGATAAAGGACACTCTTTCGAGGATGCCAATGTTCACATTTTGGACAGAGAGGACAGATGGTTTGAAAGAGGAGTGAAAGAAGCCATCTATGTCCACTGTGAGCGACCATCTTTGAACAGAGGCGGGGGTTTACGACACCAACTCTCTGCCATCTATAATCCAGTTTTGAGTTCCCTCCCCAGACGCCTTAACGCCCACTCACATCCTGGGCCATCTGACCTCAGGAATTCGCATGATAAGGTGGGGCCAGGTTTCACAATGATCTCACCCGAAACTCTGGCTGATTGGGACCCACACCCAGTTTCACACCTTGGCTCAGGCGATTAGAGGATCATCAGGGGGTCCTTTTGTCCCTCTGTGGGGGGATACTCCCACTAGGTTTAAATCTGGGACTCCCCACCATTTGACCTTAGAACTGAAGAAGCTTCTCAGATGAGAGGTGAAACGTCTTCAAGTAACTTAAAGAAGTCCAGACGCTTTTCTTTGCAAGCTCCTTTGACTACGATGACCTGGATGACTGAGAACCTTCACAGATATTTGGCAAGGTAAATCCATTGGGTATCCTTGTTGGTCTTCAGACAACAATTCTGACGGCTAAAGAACCAAATGGGACAGGCAAAAAAAATTTTTTTTAAAAATTGTATGGTGAAAATTATACTTTTAGTTATCTTGATTGGCAAAAGAAAAGTAAATACAAAATCTGCTTCTGACATATAGAAGGACCGCTGGACCTCTGAGCATCTGCCACTCCCGAACAGACACATGCAATTTGTCCGTGACCGCAGCCGCGCCGTCAGTGTTTTCTCCACTCATAGGTCAGCATTATAATATATGCAAATACATGCGGGTCAGAATCCCCGGCCCCCAGCGCGCCCCCGGATGCCAAAACAGTGCCAGCAGAGTGAAACTGAAAAATGGTTTGAAACCGAAAAATGGATTGAAACAAAAATTGTAAGCGAAAACAAAAAAATTCCAGTTTCAATTAATTGTTTTTCACTATCAATTTTTTTTTTCAGTTTCAATACAAGATTTTTCAGTACATTTATTTCAGTTACAATATTTTTTTTTCGGTTTCATTTCAAGGTGGCATCGTTCTGATCCCATAGTTTCCTCTCATTGCCACACTATCCGTACACACACATGCACAACTTTAGAACAAAGGCCTGTTGGGAGATGTTTTTGTTCACCATTCCCCACAGACTTGCAATCAATAAAAAAGCTCAGAGCCTGTTAACCTCCCTGAACTATTTAACACCAGCTGGCCCCTATTACTCAGACCAGTCGATGATGTTTGTCACTTAATGCGATTAGTACAGTTTCCTATTAAGCCTATCAGAGAGCTCTGCCTGTTACTGAAGGGGTCAGCATTTGGCAGCTACCTTGCACTTGGCCTTCTTTTGACTAGCTAAAGAGTTAAACATTAATTATCTCTTTTTCTCTGTTTATTGGTGTTTTTCCATTTTTTTTTCTGTTTATTGGTGTTTTTCCATTTTTTTCTCTTCTTTACCTTTCTATATTATTTGTCTCGTCAGTTCTAATAGCATTTTTGAATTTTGTATCTGATAGGAAAAGCTGCATGATTCTCCTGAGAGCTACATTTTAGTAGATAAGGAAGAGTACTTTGAACATTAAAACCAAAACAATGATACAAAATAGCCTAACGGACTATGTAGAGTTTGGTGGTTATTCTCTGTGGTGCTCCTTACTACTAATCGGTGATTATGTTAGGATACATCTTGATTTACTGCAGCTGTGAAAGGTTTTGCACTAAAATGTCACTCTGTAGGGTTCATCATACAGTAAAAATGCTCCCTTATCTGGAAAAGGAGTAGTTGCTCAGAATAGCTCAGAATCCTGAGTGATATGGGTAAAACCAGCCAAGGCAGAGAGATCAGCTCGCACCTGCAGGGATTACAGCAGGCCTACCACTGTACACATCTTTGCCCCTGACTTCACACATTTAAAAGAGCTGTTCGAATGTCAGCATCATTTTGGAGCGATGATAGAAGTGATTATTTCTGTTTATTTATTTATTTTTTAAAATTTTTTAGATGTTTGCATGCGCACAGTTATTATGCTTCACACCTAACTGTAATTTACTGATTTGATCGAGCGTAAACACCAAGGTATCGATGACTTCCTCAGCTTCATCAGCCAGCTGAAGAGGCGGGTCCGCTCAAATGCCACCTTCGCTGATTTCCTGTAGGCAGAAGACAGAAGGTCAATGGATTGACAATTCAGTTGGCTGGCAAGTCAAACAAAGAGGTGGATCCTTTCTCTCTTCTCTGCCCTTTCATTGGTATCGTATTTCTTTGGTAAAATTTTGTTCAAGCGTGTCCGTGAGTTTTCTGCGTTGGGAGTCGAGGGTGTGTAAGGGTGGTTTGGGTTTCAGAAAGATGAAAAGAGCGATTATCAATTGATACCCTGTGTAGTGTGCATCTTGCTTGTGGCACTGCTGGTGCCATGAAATGCTCCCTTTGTGAATTTCCAATGAGTTGTTAAACATAGGGGAGGTATCATCAGCAAAGCAATAATTTATACAGTGAACATGATTCAGTACAAAAGGTTATACGCACTTCATAATTTCCACTTTTTTAAGGCTTGGGCCATTTGCAGGCTGACATGTACTGAATAAATATTTGACATTTTAAGTAGTTTTAAATTTCACTGGTGTAATTAACTCAAACAGGCCATTTTAATTCTGGTAATTGACTTGAGACATTTGACATTTTATTATGAAGTGTCACCCGTCATACATGTATTTTTCTAGTTTAGCCAGAATGCTTTCTGGTAGTTAGATTATTTTTTTTAATCTGGAAATGCACCATTTGAGCGATCCACTTTTTCTTGTTACCACATTACAGATAATTCTAATTTTCTTTTTACCTTCCAGCCTTTGGAACTAAAACACTATTAAGTACTTTCAGGCTTCCCATTCTTCTCTTCCTGTTCAGTAGAGCCCATAGGCCAAGATGCATGCTTGCCACATTACTCTGAAAAAACGCATTGATATTCTGCCCACAAAGTGTTCTTTGTAGTGTTTTCCACTGAATATGGACTACACTCCTTTTACGTAGTCTGTTTTAACCAGGAAAAGACAGGCAACGGTTGCTTGAAATGAAACATCTCTTGTAGTAGATATATACTAGGTGCTAGGGTGCAAGAGCAGAGCTGAATGTCAATGCCATAGCTAATGCAAGAGAACAAATTGTTGTTTTCTTGCAGGGGAAATACCAGGGTGTGCTCACGTCTACAAAAATCAAAATCCGGTGCCACTCTGCCCGCAAACTTTTTCTTTTCTTTTTTTCCATTAGCCATATGTCTTGCCAGTGTGAAGTGAAGAAGACAACAATTTCTCTGCCCAGGAAAAGACATGGATGTTCACACCATGCACTGTTGTTGTTCAGGACAAGAAGGGGAAATGAGAAAAATTATTTGATAGTGAGCCATTGTTGCAGTACACTCATTCTAATTGGCTGCGTTGTTGTGGCTGCAATTGCTTGAAATGAGTTTCCTCCAGAGAGTTTTGGATTTATTTGGAATTATACTGTCAAGCAAAGGCAAAAACATCTTATAAAAGATCCATTTATGATGTCATGCCACATATTCTAGAAAATTTTTAGCATGAAAGTGAACAAGAACAGAGGTCTCGTATAAATACAGCGATTTAGTTTGACGACTGAATCGGAAATTTCACCTTTTATCTTTTGCAAATGATTTGTTTAGTGAATGAGTAGTCCAGAGATGACAGATTTCTGTCACAGAGGGTTATAGCACAATGTAACTCAACATGTCTGAATTGTTTTGCTATTTCCATAATCATTTGTAGAGCTACTTAAAGCAGATCTCGTCTGTGTACACTCATCAGACACTGTGAGTACCGTGAACTCATTGCTACGTTCAAGTAACTGGTTTCAGATGACTTGACCTGACTGTGATGTGTTGCATTATCCTGTTGGAAGCAGTCATCAGAAAACAAGTACACTGTGGTCGTAGAGGGATGAACATGAACAGCAAAAATACTCAAAGAGTGTGCAAAGAAAATATTTGCCACACGATTACACCACCTACTCCAGCATGAACTGTTGATACAAAGCGTGTTGTTTATGCCAAACTGATGGCAAATTCAGACCCTATCACTCAAATGTCGCAGCAGAAACTGAGACTCATTAGACCACATGATGCTTTCCCAATTTTCTATGGTTCAGTTTACTGATTCTGTGTGAATTGTGGTCCGAGTTTCCTGTTCTTAGCTGACAGGAGTGGTGCCCAGTGTGGCCTTCTCCTGCTATAGCTCACTTGCTTTAAGATTTAAGATGTTTAAGTTACTGTTACCTTTCTATCAGCTTGACAGTGTCTTGCCATTCTCCTTTGACCTCTGGAATCATGTCTTTACGTCCACTCGTTGGATGTTTTCTCTTTTTTGGACCGTTCTCTGCAAACCCAATAGATAGCTGTGAGGAACAACCCCAATAGATCAGCATTTTCTTAAATACTCAGACCAGCCTGTCTGGCATCAACAGCCATCCAGTGTTCAAGGCCACTTAACATCACTTAGTTTGATCTTCAGCAAGTAGTCTTGACAATGGCTGTGTGCCTAAATGCACTAAATTGTTGCCATGTGATTGGCTGATTAGATATTTGCACTAACAAGTAGTTGGGCAGGTGTACCTAACAAAAAATCTGTTGACCGTATGTAGTTTTTGGAAATTGTGCCTTCCCCATGTATTTAGTGGCTGCTACTTTAATCTATTAAAGTATTTGGCACAGTTTTACACCGAGTTGCATTCTGCTACAGCCTGCCAGTGTTGAAAAGGCAAAGCAATAAAGCAATTTACAGGTGGAGACAAAACTTTTGCAGAGGAAGGCAAATCTCTATAAATTTCAGTTACACCTTTTTGCTGATGCTCCTTATCAGAGTGGTTGACTTTATGCCTTTAGTGTCTTTAGAATTGATTTTTAGAGTGTCTGTTGACCCTATTGGATTGGATGGTCCCACTCTCAGGGAGGCAGGATGTAAGTAGCTTTATAGGGCAGCAATTAATGAGATTTTGGTACAGCATCGATCTGTATGCTGGTAGAAGAATGGAGTTAAGCATCAAGTCCTCACATGTTAATAAAAAAAGTTTCTTCTCTGATATGGAATTGTAGATTAGGTTTAAAACGCTCCACTATATTGTTAACAGAGGTATGAAGATAAATACTGGGGTATTTTTTTAAATGTATAGAATTCCTCCTATACATAACACCAGGCTTTGTAGAATGAGGGCATTGTCGCAGAGTATGTCTCTATGGCAGCATATTGTTTCCATCATGAAAAAATAAATAAATAAACAATAAGAAATGTGAGGTACTTTAACAGTGGGGGAGTAATTCTGTGTATCTGTAATGTAAATGTAAAGAATCTCTATTTAATTTGCTGGACGTAGCTCAGGTCTGTTTCTCTTCAGACTGCAAACTACTCAGCTGTCAGTAAGCCATGCCACCGGTGAGGCTGCTGAACAAACAGAGAGCACAGGGTTATGCATTTTTGATGCCCACGATGGCTACCGTTTCCTTGCTTAGGGACTTGTGTGGCTGCAGCAAGAGGAACTCTGTGTCTTCAGGTCTAGCTTCTGAATAAGTGTTAAGTGTCGCATTAAAATGAATGTCCAAATCAGCAGGGAGAAGCAGACTCTGCTACGAGCTCCTAATCTCTCCTTTCAGCCCCACTTATCTGCACTATCTCAGAGGGAAGTTCTCCAAAGGTGGCACAGTTTAAAGTCCTTGTGCCCTGCCCTTGAAGGCTCTCACCCCTTTCCCCAGACATGTAATCAAAAAGTTTCTTCCTATCTCTTCTGCTCATGCCATTTCTGCTCTTTTTTACACATGGTAAGCTGTGTGCTATTCTTAAGACATGTTTTGGGTTATGGGGTTATGTATACAACGTATGTATGATGAGTTCATATGTTTGAGTGTGTGTTTGTAAACAGTTCACTGACTAGTAGGCTCTCCACATTCAAACTCATCCTGTATATAACAGCGCTGAATCTGAATCAGATGGCAAAAGTCTAGTAATAATACTGTTCGTTTGTTCCCTACCTACAGATGTTTTCATATGAAGCCTCACCAATCACGAGGACTGCACCTTTTCATTTTAATAGCAGCCCACTAAGATCCTTGGGGGCTGGTCCCTGTCATTCAGGCACTGAACAGACATTATTGAGGAAGGTAATTGGCAGGGAGCCTCATCTCTGGAGGTTTCCCTGGGCCTCAGTGATCTGTCAGAGGACTGTGAGACTCTGCTATTAATCAGTATAGGGATAAGAGAAAGGAGGGATGTGCCAGCATTGGCCCAAACCTTTACCTTTTCTTCCCCCTGACAGAAAAATCCTTACCTAATCAAACTGCCCCTTCTAATCTACGCTTAGCATCTTTGTGTAAGGTGGCTCACATAAAATGAGGGTAACACTTCTTAAATGAGAAACTGTATGAATACAAAATTGCTAGTTTTTCAGTGAACTGAAAGAAATATTCCATTGGATGTAAACATGTCATTTAGCATAGGCTATACTTGTCCACATCAAATCCACACAGTGTCTGCATTATTATTTTCAACTTTTTTTCTTATCTGGGATTAAATTAGTAAACTGTTTTACTGACATTTTGCAGGCAGTGCCTTACATGTTACAATAAGATTAAAGGCTAAGTGGATTTGTAAACTGAGGCTCACACTAAACTATATCCATTAGTTAAAAAACCAGCTGCTTGGAAGGGGTTACTGGTGTACATGGGTATGTGTGCCTGGGTCTATGTGTTTTGTAGCTTGTATTTGTTTTTATGTAATCCTCTCCTTTATATAATTTATAAGCAATTTGTTGTTTTAAATGTGCTTTAATTAGTTAAATGAATTCAAATTGGATTCGACTGGATTCATTGATTTAGTTTTGGTTGGTTTTTGGTTAAAAAAAACAAAAACTCCAAGTCCACAGAAAGTGGTCACCGTCACTCAGACTGTCACAGATATTTACACAGCTAGTTCCTGCAGTTATTGGATACACAGGTTAAATATGTTTGCTTTCTCCTCACTCCTAGCCCGGGTCTTTCGAGGTCTTGCTGCGGTTTTTCCCGTGGCCTAGTGCTTGCTCAGAAGAGATCTTCTGATTATTGTTTTTTTTTTCTTTTCTAATATTGTAGGGTGTTACAATATTAGCACATCGAGGCAACTATTGTGGTTATCTGGCACTATACAAATAAAACGGAATTTAATTGAACTAAATATGTTGGAGAAAGAATCCAAACTGCCAGATCATTCTCGAGATGGCAATGATGGAGTCCAAAAACTAGTGAAATACATACTCTGGCAGAAGTTTTCAAGCCTCTTCTTTGTCTATACGAAACATGCACTGAAAAAAAGGCCATGTTGGATTTACTTGATTCAATAGTGGACATTGGTTGCACACAAATGTTTTGCTTTGGCAGAAACTTAAACAACTGAGTTAAATCAACACAACTTTTTCATATTCAGTAAACCTGTGCATTTTGTGTTCATAAAACGCGATTGAAACATATTCAGATGAAGTAAGTTGAGCTCTTGGAATATTTTAATCCTTCACAATTTTGTCATTTTATTTCAACACTATTCAATAACTTTTACCCCAATACTACTTGGTCACTTAAATACTACATGCTGTCTTCATATTACATAATGTTCAACAAAGTCTAGATCCTGGTTACCATGAAAATTGAATGGGTCTTCAACAACTACCATCCTTCTATCTTTATCCTGGTTGCAGGAGGGCTGGGAAATAACCCTGAAGTAATAGGTTACAAGGCAGGGTACACCCTGGACAGCTGACCAGTCTATCACATAGAAACAAACAACCATTTACACTTACATTCACAGGTAATTTAGAATCACCAGTTAACCCTGACTCTAATAACTGCATGACTTTTAACTGCGGGAGGAAACCAGAATACCCAGAGAGAAACCTGCAAAATGTGGATTTGAACACAGGACCTTCTTACTGTGAAGCAACAGCACTAACCACCATGCCAACAATCTAGGAAATGTAGGAAAGCTATAATTTCCTGTATTTGATGCAGAATTGTTTTGATTTTGTAATAATACACAATAAATAGCAATAGCATGCACGTGGTGCGTGTGTAGTTGTCTGCCTCTTATAACTCCAGTGATTTTCCTGCAGTTTGAAATCTTGTGCGATCTTGTGAATTTCATGAGTTCAGCAACTAACCGCTCTTACTAGATTGTATCAGGTCGTCTCAACAAGAAGAAATTAAGTTGTTGAAATTCGTACAGATTCTTCATGATTTAGTTACGTTCATAGAAACATGAAATTATTGTGTTTAAATTACAAGTTAGACTTTTTTAATGTAACAACTACCCAATTTACTTTTTTTTGGTATACTAAAAAAAGTAGAGGTGGCTGCTCAACTTGACTGAGATGCATGCCTTCCTGAAACCACGATCTAAAGAGCGCGAGTCTGAAACCCGTGCAGTGTCGCGGGATTTAACATTGATATTTTATTGACTTACTTCACTTGAACATGATATGAACAATTTAATCTAGCCTCTCTGCATATCATGTAGTTTCTACACTATATAGTTACACTTAACTTTAAAGCACGAGGCAATTGTGTTAAATACACGCAAGATGCTTACGTAAATCCAAGAGCTGGCCAATCCCTTTTTTTCAGTGTGGGTTATCTTTTAAAATGAACATAACATGAGTCACTTAGCATGGCCGGGTCACACCAACATTAGTCTGTTTCAGTGCTTTTGCAGACTGCTTGGTTTGTGCTTTTAAAGGCTCATTACAACAGATGTTTTTGTTATGTAGCATAGTGTTATAACAATTTGACAACTTGCCACTTGAACTATATTGACACATTTGTAAAGACTATTTTGTAAAAATGTGTTGTTCTGAATTAAAAGGAGCAAACAATGACTTTGGCTGGGAATTCAGATAAAAAATCTTATGTTAAGTACCTTCATTTATCCATAAATGTGGGCAAAAAAGGAAAAACAACAACAGAACCAATCATTACCCTCAACACCTAATCCCATATGTCTCACTGATTACTTGCTCGGTCCCAGATAGATACGGCATGAACATTGTTTTGCAAGTCAATAACACAGTAATTGTGTGTAGTATATAGGAATCGTCTTAGTAGAGGTCATGGTAGTGAAATCTTTCTATGCTATTTGACTTTATGTTTTGCTCAGGGGAGCTGTATGTGCCTCAGAATGCAAAGCTGCCTCTTTTCTCCAACTGATGGAGGGGAGATTGTAGCAGATGCCTGACCCTCTCCCAGTGAGGTTATTTCTAATTTGTTTCCCCCCCCCTTTTTCCAGTGGGGACTTCAAGAGGAAAGGAAATTATTCCCAAAATACTATATTCAACATTTTACATCCATTTTCTTTTTCAAAAATTC